ATTGGATTTCCCCTCCACATGAATCGTTGCACTAAGGTTTTAAAAGAAGGTAATTTTCAGGTTCTATGGAGCACTTTTAACTCTCTTGCATTTTGGCTCTTGTTCCTACTTTTTTTATCTTCCTCAAACACTTAACATGCGGACTTTTGCTGTGCCATTCCAAAGCTGTGTCCATTATTACACGTTTTCAGGCATTTTGATTTTAAGCAGTTATGGATCTCGTCTCAAGTGAAGACACACGTAGAAAAGTTAGAATTTGGGAAAAACAACAGCTAGCAAAAAATGTAGTACGTTTCAAACTAAAAGGCACAGAAATAGGTAAAACACATGAATAACACACACCAAAAAGCATACGTAAGAAGGAAATAAGGCTATGAAGAAAGGCAAATCAACGAGGCCGCATTACATAAGGTCCTGAGAAGAGAAGCGGGGTTAGGAGGGCACAGGTTAAATGGCAGCACCTCCGCCTCGGATGTTCTCCGAGGCATCGAGGTACGTGATTACGTTCTTCCTCACACCGCATAATATCCGGAGGCCTCCACGTAATCGCAAGCCTCGATAAAAACTTCTAGTTAAGCCTTCCTTTCTCCGTTTTACTCCAGTTTGCTTAATTGGAGAACTGGAAGCCTCAAAGTGACTGTCTGGTCCGAGAGAGACTAGCGCAAACTTTCGAATAATGCGTTCTTTTCCAGATTTCCTGCAGTTTGCTCAGGAGGACAACTATAAGCCCTATACTATAGCTTGAAATGTGAGAATCTCGTTACATTTAAATTAAGCTTTCATTTCTTAGTTTTAATATAGTTTGTTCCAGGGAGCAATTCGTACCTAAGAGAGTGTCCGATTCATGAGACCTAAGAACTGAGATATTCCCTCTGCATAGGCGGCTGCTGTAATTTTCAACATGGTTGTCAATTTTAACATTCCACAATACAAGTTTTGACAACTACACAAAAGTTGTAAACATTGATATGTATGGCTAAACTGAAACACTTACGATACTTTTTCATTTAATTACCCATCACAAGAATCGGTAAATAACATCCAAAGGGTAATTTAATACCAGTTAGGGAGCCATTGCTTTGATTAGACAGTTGGATGGTCAGCGCTGCTTCAATAATATTAATATTCATCAGTATCAACTGAATACACTTTAAATTCTATCAGAAATAAACCATGAGTGAATAAAAAGTAATGGGAGTATATGGAGCTCTCGAGACACTAAACTGCATTCTGTTTTTATGCGAGCGAACGCAGTAATTACGTGGGTAATCATTCAGACAAGCAACTATTGAAGATAAAGTATAACCTCATTTATCACATACATACTTCAAGATTAGTTTAACCCGACAGCTTTATAAGACACTCGCTACTAAGTTGGTTGGTTGCGTAACAATTAATGAAGTTGAAATGAAGTGCCATCAACAGTTGAGTGTTTGCAACCAGACGAGTTATAAAAACAACCTTCCTGCGGTTCTTCAACTCTTCGGCGCGCCAAACTACTTGAGTGAAAGAGAAAGTGAACCACCTTCTATGATGTGATGCCTTCCTTCTACCATGCCACCCATGATGTGATGCCTTCCTTCTGCCATGCCACCCATTATGTGATGCCTTCCTCCTACCATGCCACCCATGATGTGGTGTCTTCCTCCTACCATGCCACCCATGATGTGATGCCTTCCTCCTACCATGCCACCCATGATGTGATGCCTTCCTCCTACCATGCCACCCGTGATGTGATGCCTTCCTCCTACCATGCCACCCGTGATGTGATGCCTTCCTCCTACCATGCCACCCATGATGTGATGCCTTCCTTCTACCAATGATGTGATGCCTTCCTCCTACCATGCCACCCATGATGTGATGCCTTCCTCCTACCATGCCACCCATGATGCAACGCCCTCCAACGTAACGTCAATATGTAGTACGAATTTCATTCTAAATTTCCAAAAAAATTAAACTACCTTGAAAAACTAACAATTCGGATTAGCGTGAAAGGCAGCTCAGAAGTCGTGTATAATGGCAAGGCCGAAATAACATCAATAAATTAATCTAACAGGAACGGAAAATACAACAATAGTTTATATTTCTATTGTAATATTTCAGGCCATCAAAACGCCACGACTCACATTGAATGTTTACAAAAAATCAAATTGTAGCTTTTCGCAATTATGTACGTGAGCGTTAAAACTATTATGCCTCCTCTAATATGAAGTTATGATAAACGTCGTCTATATATATCGAGCGCTTCTGAGGTCGTGTATAAATCAGTTTCATGAATCATGAAAAATCATAAATCATGAAAAATTGATCTACAAATAGATATTATGTACGATACGCATTTATTATGCATTGTATTATAATATATACGATGTTACATTGAAGATATTAAAGAAAATTTCGATAATAGAGACAATGATATCGGTAATTCCGCTCCATGGATAATATTCTTGCGATGTAAACCGAAGACTTGCATGACAAGACACTCACTTTCGTCCACCCGCAATGCTTAGTAAAATAATATGGCAGTAAAGACAGACGTTCAAAGTACATATTATATGCCAGAACGTTGTTCTGGATTTCCGTCAAATTAAAACAATTGAGTGGATGTTCTCAAACAATGTACCTTGATGTGAAACTATTTACCCTAACAATTAGATTCCGCTTCCGTTATCCTTTGTTTTCCAATCAATCGATAGTCAACGATTGAACGAAAATAGACGCTAAAATCAACAATGTTAATGAGATATGAAGCCAACAATGCAGCGTCCTGGATTTTATGACTTCCTTTAAACAAGACTAGAATACCGAGGACATAACTCAAGGCTTCTCAAGTCGCCGTTTCAAGGACGATGCTGCATCCAATATGGTATGATCTCGGTGACGTCAGCGACTAAGACTTTCCCTTCTCCTGAGATCTTGACGCGAGTCTGTCACGACATCTCCTTTAATATTTCACGAAACTTTACAAAAACAAAAGCCTGGGTCAAATGTCTAGCAGGAGTCCCGTTACTAGACGAGTCCCGTGAGGGGTATTTTCTTAACTCCGTCTTTCAGTCTCACAAGACGAAATAAATAAATGATTTATAAATATATGCTTGTCATCCACCACACTCTGAAGTGTCCCAATGGCACTCCATTTTTACCAAAGCAAGTGAAAAATATACGAAAATAGCTTACAATTAAAAACTCCGTAGTAAATATTATACTATCAAAAATCTGTGGTAAATATTATACAATTAAAAACTCCGTAATAAATATTATACTATAAAAAAACTCCGTAATAAATATTATTTCCTATTGAGTGCGTTTCTATTAACGCATTGCCTACCCTAAGACAGCAGATGGCTGCCAAGCTATAGCTTTTTCTTCAGTTTAAAGGCTACAATTAAGAAACGTTGATGTTGAATGAATGAGATTTAAGCTAAAATTTCAAATTAAATGACAATAAACGGTACCTTTTAAATTTCGGATTTTAATCTTGATATCTCACGTATCAATATGTTCCATAAATTTAAATTCCACCTATAAATCTGAAATTTATGCTTCAAGAACACGAATTTTCCGCAAAATATGAACAAGATGCAAAATAACTAGTTATTTTAGCAAAATTTGTAATTAATAAACAGGGCTGGGGGCGAGTGAGCTGCAGCGCTGACCGCCGGCGTGCAGGTGGCCGGCTGACATCAATGCATCGAAAGGAAAAAGTGGAAGAACATGTAAACCAGGCCAATTTTAGCGCATTTTTTCATTTATAAAAAATGCACTATTGTGCTCGTCATGTCCGTCTGTCTGTCTGTCTGTCTGTCTGTCTGTCTGTCTGTCCGTCCGTCCGTGACTTCATGTTTTCGTCGACGAGAAAATGCGCTCTCTGTCACTCACTGCAGTGAGTACCGAGTTATATTTTTTAATAAATGTGCCCGGGCATCTTATTAATTACGTTTAAGACGAATTCAGGCACGAATTTTGTTCACACATTTATAAATTTCGATGCAGAGAGCTTAGCAATTGTGTTTACCTTTTATTCTTAATGTTCCAAATAAATTATTCTCTGAAATAAATCACGGTTAATGCCTTAACCCTACAAAGATTGCGCGAACCTGAAAATGTGAAAACCTTCGTGTCTCAGCTTCGTTATATTCGAAATTATTCGGTAAATTCTGCAACATTGGTGGAAGATAGTTTTGCGGTAATCGAAATTAACGTAACAAACATCGTACAGGCGTTCATCATCTTCGCTTCCCCAAAATGTCCAAACAAACTTACCTGGAACAACACATTCGCCGCCTCTGTGGTTACTCAAGCAAAATTTTTACCAAAAAAATCAAATTCAGGAGTCAAAAAAAAAAAAGAGAGAGATAAGCCATCTAAGTAACAACCCCAATGGTTACTTGACATAGGAGTAAGGAACTTGACTTACTAGAGCATATAATTCTACCAATTTTTTAATTTTCTACTAGGGAATGCATTAATCATGCAGAACTTTTATTTAATAATCGAAAAATAAATAATTGAGAATGTCAGTTATTGTATCAACAATCAGCAACGGCATTTTTTGCGTCAGTCATGTCTCTATTCAAATACTGGACCCGGCTGTTAAAACTAAAACAATAACTATTACTTTGATATACACACGAGACAAACGACTGATTTTTAATATTATTGCTGTTCATGTGGCCAAATTAGATACAAATATTATATCCAACTAATGAAAAAATATACATAGTGTAAAGCGATCGATCATATGATAGAAATGCGGTAGTTAAACACGCGTGGACCATTCTAAAGATACAGCAAAAAATAATTAGTCACAAGTTTAAAGAAGTAACCACTAACCAGCCGTTAATGTTAAAACACAGATCATACAAATATTGCAAAAAATCATACAAATATTGCCAAAAATGCAATACAATCGTCCATCTTTAACCAGGATATTGCACAGTTAATGATTTGCCCCAGAAAAAAAAAAGATTGCAGTATTTGCCACCCAATCAGCGGAAACTTTAATGCCGGGAGCCTCCGATCATCTTGCTCACTGTAGTGGCAGATTATAAGAGTCGGACGTTCTCAACGTTAATCATGAATGTTTTTGCTATGTCTACATTAATCATGAATGTTTTAGCTATGCTTGTCAATGTACATTTGTATTTCTCGCATTTTAATGGTGAATCAATGAATGGAATTCATTGTTGCCTCATGGCGCAGGTACTCACCGATCTTCTTGCTGACGGTGATGGCAGGTCCGAGTTGGGCGTTGGAGAGCACAGGCGCGATGCTGAAGGTGTACTCTACGTTTGGGGTGATGCAGTCGTTGCAGTCAGCGGGGTTAAGCTCGTACACGCAGCTCTCTTTAGAACACTGCGCATGGGAAGTATAGACAAAATTATTATGCAGAGTGATGCCTGACAAATTTTTTTCTGACAACTAAATGAGCAAAGAAACTGAACTTGGTTTTATTATACTGTATCTAGGGAAATTATTTTGAAACTCAATTTATCGATAATCTTATACGAGTTTTTTCATGTATAGTTCATTAAAATATCTACCTACTTAAAAAAAACATGTATAAAATCCAGCAGAGAAGTGAAAAAGTGCGTTTAATATTTTGATCTTCATATGCACGAATATGGACAACAAAATCCGATCGAGAGTACGCAAAATATCAAGGGAATTATCCAAGCCGGTACACCGAAACAGGGTTAACTTGTGTAATTTCGGAGAATACACGTGCACATGTATGAGAATTACATTGACTCCATACCTTGATCTCAGTATCGTATGAAGTGGAGCCTCCCAGTAGCACGAAGATGTATGTGGACACATCGCCATCGCAGCGCGGTCGCTTCCAGACGAGCTCGACGTTAGCGAGACGCTCTGTGACCTGCAGACCGCGGGGCTTCAGGTGGTCGGTGCTGTCCGCTGCAATAATGGACACAACTACATTACCCCATAGATGCAATAAACTCGCCTAATTCTATTTTTAATAATATGGAAATCTTTTTAAGGTAGATGGCCCATGTATTTTTGTAAGTAATTCTCTTCTCTAAAATTTCCATGCGGGCCTTGGCTGCCGTCTTAGCTCAAATTTCCTCGGGGCAGGCAGCTCCTGATAAACTTCTTACAACACCAAATTCTTTCGACGCAAAAATATAAGAATAAAATTGCGGTATATCTGTGGGTTGCAATGTAGTTACCGAGGGGCCACTGATTCATACCCAGCCGAACTGTAATGCAATTTGTCAAACTAATGAATTTATTTATGATGAACCCAAGCCTAAAGACGATTAATCAAAAAACAATAACAAGCCTCAATTGAGTATTCTAACAGACGAGCCCATTAGATTTTGCCGTTAACTTTTTAAAAAGGTCACTAGAGCGAAATCCGTTCCGGCGCACCCGAGCAAATCAGAATTGAGCATAAATTGAAGAACCTTTCAACTGCCAATCGTCGTTACTGAATATCTTAGAAGCTAAGTTTTTCTGAACATCTTAGGTGGCAAGTTTCTTGTAATTACACAACGAAATATTCTTATAACTCGCACCAGATCTCTGGCAGACGGCAAACATGAGCTGGTGATCAGCAGGGTATGGCTGAAGTTTGTTGCGGTACTGAGTGTCGGAAGCGTCATCCAAGATGGCGGCGATGGAGGCACCGTGGAGGCCGGTGGGGACAGCGTTCCATTCGTTGCCGCTCTGAAGAATCATAAATCTACTTACTACACAATTACATCGATATTAGAATAAAAATGGTATGCTTATTTTTTCAGCAAAGGCAGTCAATGTATAACAGAAATTATATAAAACAGAATATTTCAATCAATCGTCAGTTATGGAAAGATCGGTTTCCAAAGGCCGGATCCCTTGTGAATAAGGTCACGAAAAGTTCAAGACGCGGCAACAGGCCATGGGCCTATTTCTTCAATGCCGACACTTCTATTCTATTTCTTTATAATAATTTGTTCTTATTTGAATGGTAACAGTATTTAACAGGCCATGGGCCTATTTCTTCAACGCCGACACTTCTATTCTATTCTAGTAGCAATTTACGGACATAGTAGTGGTATTTTTAGCGCTAAATATGCCTAATCTGCCATGTAGCCGACTGTAGACATCGCAGAATTTAATTCTTAAAGCTTGCTGGGGTCTCGAATGCGCAACAAACTACTCCGATCTTTTTATTCACAAGTCTCAACCACCCGTCCACCTTGCCGAGTTTTACCAGACCTGTCACAGGAAGCTGTTATGGTACCCGCAACTTTCGTACTATTCCAATCCTGGTACTCTTTAAACACTGGCCCACCCTCCCATAAGCACAACCAAATAAAATGTTACCACCACGACACAATTGTTTCCATTCCACAAAAGAGTTTTCATGGGATTGTTTGAATAAAAACTTTCACCGCCTAAGGTATTAAATGGTTTAATCATCTTGCATTTGCGCAAAACCTTGTAATCAAATAACTGACCTAGAATAACTGACCATGATATGAACCTCTCCCTAACCGACAAGCACGGCAGGCGGCGTATAGTGGTAATATTGTACACAACGTCCTAATTAACTTCCGGATACGCGACTTACTGAACTCCAGTCGCAGAATCCATTTCCCTCGCACTTAGTGCCGTCAGCGAAGACCCAGTTGGAAGAAGTATCGCACTGATCCCTGTAAATCAACAATATCATATCATTGGCTTGAAATCACTAAGATAGTAAATTTACACAAATCCTACGCTTTACGAAATTCTTAAAATTTGACTGACATTTTTTGCAAGCATAGAGAATAGTCGAGTCCGCTCAGCTTAGAATTAAAACTATATATTTCTGAAAGGCCATTGACTGAGAGTTTAAATTACAGAATATAGAACCAATAGCAACGCTCTTGATTAATATCAATAAACAATTCACCTTTACATGAATCGTGCACAGCCAAGTACTGTCTTGGCAATCTTACCTCGAGGAACGAAGTCAATTCATATTGTTCAAAATTGACTTCATTCCACGAAATCTAAAATAGCTCACGGTCTGAAGTTAAACAGTATGATTGGGTGAGATCACAAAGTAACCCAATCACTTCAAAAAACCGCTTAAAATAGGAAACAAGTGCTTTAACACTCTGAATGAGGTAAAAAATAATAAACCATAGAATTACATACAACTCAGCTGCTGCTTGAGCAAAGAAAACTGCAGCAATCTCATCATACGCCTCCTACTCTCCCCACTCCCAAAAAAAATTACAGCTTTAGATTCGAAGGAAATCGTACTTAGGATTTTGTACCTCAGGACATACGGCGGAACCTGCACATGAGACTCCAGACGTACTTATTGCTGTAAGGTACGGGAGGTTCGAAATCTATTTACTTTAACCGCAATGAAATCGCACGATGCCATGTCCTAAATTTGCCAAGCGAAATGTGTTTAGTACAGATGTACAGAACGTAATGCTCAAAAAGTTGTGGTCCATCCGAATAACCTAACTTCCGGTCCAGTAAATAATATTTGAAGTTTTTGAACATACTGCACCATAAAATTAAAGCATGCATTTTCATCTATATTTAAATAATATTGAAGTAAGCTATTCCCTCAAAATAACGCTCTATATAATATGAGATTCAATGACAATTTTGCTTCCGAGAACAAGGTTATTTTCTTCAAAGAATCTACTCGCATGTCAGGAGACAGGAGACTAGATGAGGACGGTTTATTGTCCCAATTTGATTTATTTGTGAGGGTCTTACCGAAACATCTGATAGAAAACGACAATTTCAGAGAAAACTATATATGTTAGCGAAACTACATTAAATGCAAAATTTCGCGAAAGAATTTTTCAATAAACGACTTCTTCTACTAATCAATTACGACCAATGCTCAAAAATAAACTTTAAATTATCCATGTTGATGAAAGTTTATTATGATATCGCATTTGCTCTCTCCTCTCTAATTCAATATATGAATAATGAACTTATTCTGGCACTTCAATTATTTCATGAATTGACACTAAAATACGTTGGAAATTTAACCAAAGTAAAATAATAACATTTCTATTTTATTTTTCTCGATCTAAACAATTTAGTAGTTTTGCTCACTGGGCTAATTATCCAAGGTCACGTGCCACTCAAAATAACTGAAGGGGCCGAACTAACTTTGGAATTAATTTATGACGTACGAATCAAAACAAATTCGTCACGAATATTGGAAAAATTATGAACGAAATTTTTTAACGTCATTTGTCACATTCTATTTACAATTAATTGACTGTAATATAAATCGAATATAAATAACGAAATGCATTTTTTCTCACAAGCTTGATGGAAAAAGAGCAATTTATGGCAAAAGTTTTCTAGCAATGGTGGTAATGAAGCTGCCGGCGTCCATTAGGCTAAATATGACCTTACAGCTTTCGTCAATTCTAGACCGAATTCTTTAAACCTGCTGTGAAACTTTTCCCCGCAATTGCTGTTCCAATGTTAATACCGGTACTCGTAAATATCCACTGTCAAGGCACATATAGCTGATTGAACTTGTTGATGCATCGAACCCGCAACTCATGCTCCACACTTTTAACTTCAATCACTCGGCCATCCTGCCGTGTTTAACCCGAATAAAAACATGAATATGCAGTCATGACGTAATTATCGATTGTGTTTATAGAAGCTATTTCTTTCATCTCTCAAGCGCGGCATCAAGCTTGCGACTCACTGAATGCGTTCTTAATCATTTCCACCTAACCACCTTGTCACCCGATGTAAAAGGCTACAATAAGCAGGTTACCCCCAACCTTGGGTTACCTCTTTCCTAAATTTGCCATTATTGGTGGCTAAATTAAAACACTTCCATCTGCATTCCTTCGCAATCATTGACAAATTTGTTTTAGGTAGTAATTTACACCAGTTCGTGGACTACCGACCGACTTACTGGCACATGAGACCGACAAAGGCGCGGCGGTATCTGGAGTCGATGTTCTCGGTGAGCACAGGCTTGAGCAGCGACTTGAGGAAGGTGTGCACGGCAGCGCTGCTGTCTGACGCCAGCACGGCGCTATCCTGCTGACATCTGCCAACAACAACAGGGTTTAAAAAATCTGTACGAGTGGGTCACAACTGAAAGATAGGCCGACTACGTCAATATTAATTAGTATTATGAAATAATATTTAATATTAATAATAATATAATAATATTATAATGTATTATTATAATATATTCATAGAATATTATTTTGAAGGTTGCTTCTAAATTATAAGCTTGTTTACGTTTACGTAAGATGGAGTTTAAATTTAAATAAATTAGTTTTTTATCTGAGTAAAAAGATAATGATTTTCTGAGTAAGAACGAACTCGGATGGGCTGTAAAAATTTTGTGACAAATAGCAGCCCAAAGTTGATCATTTTGAGAAAACTTCGCGAGTAATCAATGCGATAATCGAAGTTTACGGTGAAAATAGACCCATTTGTCAATGTTTTTCTCGACTTATCATCACATTAAGGATGCATTCCATTCATCTTCCAATTGTATAAGAGAAGTTATACCAGTGCTCGAGAGACGATGTCTTCATCACACGATCAAATTAATAATCGCTTTTTGTCTCACAGCGAAATTATTTATTTTTTAATAAAAAATAGATTAAGGTGCATTTCGTCAGTCTTAAGAATCCAGCGTTTTTAGCAGAATATGCCTCTATGAAATGAATAGCAGGTTATGAAGATATCAGAAATTATTCTGATTTTCAACAGAAAGAGCCAAAAGCATTGAATTATTTGAACGTGCAAAACGGGATGCAATATGAAGACGATCTAACGTAAGGAAGAAAGATATAAGTGTTTTTCTAACATGTTAGGTGTATGACAAGAAGTTGCAAGTTCAAACTCAAGATAACTTGGCTACAAAATCACAAGGACTAACGAAGTGAAAATAAAATACCTTTTTCTAAACATCGTACAATTAAAAAATAACCGGTTTAATGTTAGAAAGAGCGTTCACTGGCGATAAATAGTTTTGGATTAGTCATGACTAAAGCTCACTTTCTTTGAGATGAGGTGAAATCGAGAGGCGTCGGTGAGGAAATTACTTTATAACATTTGTTCTGGAACATGGAGAAGCCGTCCGCGCAGGCCTCTGAAATACCGTGGCAAAGTTAACGATGGGTAGACATCATTATAATGTAAGCATGTGATACGTAAACAGCAATACAGCGTCATCAAAAATTTGACATACACTCAATACATAGCTGACACTTAGTTGATGAAGTCAACGCAAAATTAACAGTGAGTTTCAGCACATGTAAATGAAGTTAAAACAATACTAAGTTGATACATAGTTATCAATAAACCAACAGAACGTTGGCAATTACATAAACCTTTGGCAATTCAAAGTTAATTTATACCAACACTAAATAATCCAATATCCTCATTACAGAATACCAATACATATTCAATGCCAATACTGCCAATTAGTCCAACACAAAGATAACGCACGATTACACTTAATGCTGCCATAATTTAAATACACATACAATTCAGAAACACTTCGTTCAGATGTAAGAGTGCGATAGAATGCCTTGGTACGATCAATCGATGCCTTATAGTACGATCAGTGCTCATAGCCACAACTATGAAAATTTTTAATTCAGTCGAAATAGTTCTTTGCCGTACTCCTTTTAATAGCACAGCGTTGAAATTTCACGACGCATTGAACACTTTGCCTTTTCCGCAGAAATTCTCTACAACTTACTTTTCTGCAATGCTAATGCCAGAACGTTTATTCCCCAAGATTAATTTCGAAATACTAATATCGTTGCGGCCTTTAATGTAAACTCCATCGGCGCTTCTTAAATTCAAAAACAAATTGAATGAGGAAAAAAATAAAAGTTCGTACTATCGTAATCCCAGGCTACTTAATTACTGGTTCATCTTTCATAGATTTGCTACTCTGTTGGTTTTTCAAAGGGGACGATGCATGGGCGCTATTTCACGAATAGTATGGAAATTTTAAAACAAATGTATCTTCTTGATTTTTCTTTGTCTGTTTTTGGTCTTTTTAGCGTATTTTCTCATTTATGAAAAAAAAGGCGCTATTGTGCTCGTCATGTCCGTCCGTCTGTATGTCAGTCTGTCCGTCCGTGACCACGTCTTCGTCGACGAGAAAATGCTCTCTCTGTCACTCACTGCAGTGAGTACTGAGTTGTATTTAATCAGAGTTGTCTTGGAACGGATCGTTAGAAAAAAATATAACTCAGTACTCACTGCAGTGAGTGACAGAGAGCGCATTTTCTCGTCGACGAAAACTTGAGGTCACGGACAGACGGACGGACAGACGGACAGACAGACGGACGGACGGACATGGCGAGCACAATAGTGCATTTTTCCATAAATGAGAAAATACGCTAAAAATGGGATAACTGTTAGGGTAAATAATCAAGGCGCATAAACCAAGGTTTGCTAAGTGCGACGGGTAAGGTTGTGGAATCAGACTCACGGCCAGCGCAGCTCGGGCCCTTGGGTCGCGGAGGCTCAGGCTTTGGGGTGGTGGTGGGCTTGGCGGGGGCCGCTGCGGGTGCTGCCCCTGTTGCAGGCGCTGCAGCTGCCACCGCTGCAGGTACGTTGCCTCTTACGCGGGGTCTTGCCGTCCCCCCAACCCGTCGGCCCTGGAGACAATAAATCATCAGACTTGAAGAATTTAAAATTAAAAATCAACGAATGCATTCAAATTTCATTAACAAAATTTCATAAATGTTGTGATACACGCGAAGGTAAATTTAGATTTTTCATAGATTATCTGAGAGCACTAGTAAATTCGTGAATAAATTGAAGAAGTGACATAGAAAATAATATCAAATACGAAAAAGCCACTCAATTTTCAATAAAAACATTTTAAGGGATCTAGATGTATGCAGTTCGACCCAAAATAAGTCAAACTTTATTGTGAAATAACCTCATTCATATTTGTCAAAGTTTGTTCGAGATTTTGAAGCACCGTCAAAATTTTGGGGCCGCTCGAGCGCATACCCGCGATACTGGCACAATACAATAGGGTGAGAGTATTAATTGAGGCATTTCAAAAATGGTGTGAAAGGATTGAACCAAAATTATAAATTCCATATTGCAGTTGGTACAGGCATATTCAAGCTTACGATTATGATTAACTGGATTGGGGATGACAAAATTCCAGAAAACGGGGTTTGGCATAACACGATTTGAGATGAAAGGATTCGTGAAGTCGAGATTCAGGATGACAGGGTTCGGGATTTGGGGATGATATGATTCATGATGACAAAAATGCGATTTTGGGCAAAGTTTGGACAAAATTCGCACAAGTCTCGGATGAAGTTACGGTAAATGTAGGATAAATTTCATTGAATAACGTGATTCAAGATGAAGGGATTCAGAATATTTGGATTCGGAATAACGGGAATTTTTCAGATCTATGGGAATATCTCTTCCGAGCAGAGTCATGTTGACCAGCTATTCTTGTTTATGATTGGCAAAGATTGTCTCAGTATGTTTATATGGGTTTGGTTGTTTGAATATTTAGTAGTTCGAGTTTGAATATTTAGTAGTTTATTCACCACGAATATTTAGTAGTTCGAGATGCATGATTTCAGCGCGTGTCCAGGATACTTATATCTTGTCGGGATATTACCGAAACCTGGAAATTTCTTCTTGGCGGGAGAATAGTGAGGCATTGCACAACTGGTAGGAAAATATTCGATCAAAATTTAAAGTATAATTTTAAGATTGGTATTTACTTTATAAGTATAATTTATAAGACGCCACAGAATTTTTCTCCGATTTTGAAACGAGATTCAAATGAGAGTTCTACACGTAAAATGTGGGTTGGAGCATGTTTATCATTAACGGGATTCTATATGTACTGGCATTACGGGATTCCAAAATATTTCTCGACTTCCCCCGTAAGTGTTGCCCGATATCGATTTCTTTATTTAACTAAGATTCAACGTAGAAATAAGATTAAAATCGACAGTAACGTAAGCACGAAGAATTTTCCAAGAAAATCGATTCAAATATTTTTCACGAGCTGTATCCGATAAGTTTGCAATTATTGCGATTTATTTATACTTGTTCTATGCCTGTACAGAGAATGCGGTGCCCCCTGTCGAGAGTAAAAGTTTCAAGTAGCTTTCTTTGACCAGAGACTCTTAAACCAGTTCGATGTCACAAAAAATTGGGCAGTGCAACAAAATGTGCACGAGTGAGAGTGAATATGAGTTGTTTAGAGGGCAGTTCAGTGAAGTGATTACCGTAAATAGATATTTATATTAATAGACATTTTCAAAAAAGCTGCTAGGCTGGTGCTTGGACCAGACAGGACGATGCAGATTCTTGAACATAAAATGCGTGTAAAATTCGCTTTAAATGTCCACGGGTGGCCCACGCATCTATACAGAGGAACATCCGCGTAGGCGCTGTGCCGTCCAAACAAATGGCATGGATTATGAAAGCCAAGAGGCACAAAGTTAAGAGTTACAGCCTGCCACCGATGCATGAAAGAAATCCTGGGCCTAGACTGAAGGAAGGAGAAAGTTTCGTGTGGACCACAGCAGCAGCAACACCAGCATACCCAATGAGTAAAATTGTGGTTACATCTGGCGTCGCTGGACGCACGGCATTGCGGACCGATGAGTAACGCGCCAGACGTACGAGCCTCGCTTGCGGCACAGCCAATAAAAAATACGAGAAGCGGAAGATTGAGTTCGACTTTGTCAGTAAATGGAGGGCGATGAGTGAAAATATGTTCCGTTCAAATCACTAAGAATTCGTTATGTTGAAAAGGGCAAGTAAGAGCGAGAGTTGATTGCTGGCGTTGAATTCCTAAGAAATCATTAGAGTTTGAATTCGTATATAGTGGCAAAATAGTAAAGAAGAATGACTGCTCAGAATATTGAGGAATAAACGATTAATTTTTTACTGGTGATAACAGTTTTTATTGATGACTTGATACGAAGACTATTCACATTGAACAAATTTTATCACGGCACTTGGTCGAAAAATTTAATAATTTTGTTGAGATAATCTAACAAAGTTAAGCTCGATTAAAGGCATAAGAAAGTGCTGGAACATATATTGATCATATAATGACTTTCAATCTTTTTCTTTCAATGAAAAGTTATGTACAAAGGGCCCTCTCGTCCGGGCCATGAAGTTGAGAGCATAAATTTTTTTAAATATATGAGTCTTTTCAATATAAGTCTTTAAATAATAATAATAAGTCTTTTTTAAATATAAGTCTTTAAATAGAATCCCCAAGTAAGGGCGATCTGTCCCTAGACTTGTTCCAGAAACTGTCTGAAATTTCTTTTTAAACGTTTTTAGAACATATGTGATTATGTGTCTGTAAATGATGCATACAAAACCGAACCATAGTAATGTATTTGAATTGAAAGAATTGAAAAAGATCTATTTTGAAGGACGCAATAACAAATCCTTGATAAATAAACTTATATTTAATAAATACTTGATAATCCTTTAATCCTTGATAAATAAAATAAACCTAATAAATAAACTTTTAGTTTAGCAATTTTAGCAATTCAAATCAATTTCCAGGGTTGGCAAGTTTATATGTTCGAGAGAAAAACTCGATTTCGAACCTTGAATTTTATTTTTTTTAAGTTTTTCTAATTTTTTTAAATTATTTTTTCTGATGATCAAATCTTGAATTGTTAGGCAGCATAAGCATGGATGCCAAATTTCAAGTTTCTAGGACCTTCAGAAGTGGTCTAAATTAAAAAGGTTTGAATTTTTGATGACAGACAGACAGACACGAAACGAAGCTAAGAAAAACGTGGTAACAAATGAAAAAAATTGTCAAGAATAATCGATGCATGCAGATATTTTCATAAGAAAGATAAAATATCCCCAAAGGCAGATTTGCTACGCATTCCTAGGGCAAGAAACTACTGGACAGTTCCACGGTAACCATAAGTTGGCGATTGGGAACCTCGATTAAACGAAAGTTGTGTGGAGAAAATTAGCGGTGTTCAGAGCCTGTAATGCATGGAGACCTCAGGGTATACACAGTATGATTGTTCTGCCATCACCGCAATCGAGAGTGAACAACAGAAAGCTATAGGGTCTAATTCATACGCTCGATTGCAGACTGCGTATATGGCAATAGCAACAGCTAGAGATTTCTCCTCGCAATGCTTTTACGTGTTTCAGGAAGAAAGTGTCTGTTGTCTGAAGTTATTTAAACGATCTGCATGAAAAGATTAATTTCAAAATTTTATTTCAAAACAATAATTGAGAAAATACACAATCGAGTTTAATTATTCGCTTTCTTACGTAAATTCAGACGGCATCAAGCACTTAATGTTTGCACCTCAATGGTCAAGCCTATTTTTTAACCTATTATTTTTTAACCTATTCACTTCATGTATATTAATACGTAACAGCTGAAGTATAACGTGCATTCAATCATCAATTCAATAAAAACTAAGAGTAAGGATACACAATAAAAAAAAATAATGAGTAATGTGGAACGAAAAGTGACAAACTAGATTACCCACAGCAGGAATAAAGAGCAGACGCACTGAGAGAAATGGGCGGGTCTGGATGATATACTTTGGGAGGGTCTGGAGGGTCGCTTCGAATCACCGACATGTGGAACAGCCTCCCCGATGACATCGTTGGAGCTCCAAGTATGAACGCGTTCAAGAACAGACTAGATAAAGCTATGGAAAAATATATGTTCAGATTTGAAATGCCTAGCTCCTTATCGAACCCGGTGGAAGTCTAGTAGCTACTTCAAACTATCGCCAGTCATGAAATGATCCGATCAAATGATACGAGTTTAGATCTATGAACAAGGCACGAAAAGGAAAAGAATCGGCGACAGGCCACATCAGGCCTACATTTCAGCGCCGACATCATTATGTTATGTTATGTTTAACAGCGTCCAAATAGTGATGGACTTTTTTGACTCGCGTGGCCATTATGTAGGTCATACTGACCTATTACTGGCACTTTAAATTTCAGGTATGACTCATTTGCGAGGTCAAAAGCGGTTAGACGCCACAAGTGAGTCATTTACTGACATTTAATAGGTCAATATGACCCACAAATGAGGCAAGTGAGTCAAAAAAATGCATCGCTATTTGGACACATTTGACTCATCTAATATGGTCATCCGGACCTACCCACTATCTCAGTACAGAGCAATGATAGCTCTTATACGGGCCAAACCAGAGTCTATACTTTCAGAAAAAGTTAAGAAATCGTAAGTTCATCAGCCAATCATTGACGGCCTTTCAAGCAAAATCCACCAATCATAGACAAGGAAATAGAGCGTAAGTACTTACGTTCACTATACTTTCAAAAAAAGTTAAGATATCGTAAGTTCATCAGCCAATCATTGACGGCCTTTCAAGCAAAATCCACCAATCATAGACAAGGAAATAGAGCGTAAGTACTTACGTCAGGTCAGGATTACCCGCACAAGGGCAAAAGGTGCGTCTCTTTTTGTACAAAGTCTCGCTCATTTCTCTGAGAGTGAGATATAATCACTCTTGACGAATTTTAGAGTCTAACCATGTATAGGTACTTTATTACCTAATTGAATTTTTCTTTGCGAAATCGATTAGTCCTGGAAAATCTACGGCCATCGACGTCAATAATCAGCCGATTTCTA